AAAGTAAACAAAATGGAAACATGCCTCAAATTGCATGTCCATTTAAAAAACATCTTCAGTGGCAGGGGGCCTAGGTGGTCCCTAGACCCCGCCTTACTATTTGTCATTTCAGAATGTTGGCAGCTCTGGTATTGGATAGATACATCTTTGGTAAAAATATAAAGCTTGTTCTAGGCTGCGTTCTATATTTTCTGGAAGAAAAACTGCTTGAAAATAAGCGGTTTTATACAGAATATGCTAAAATGGCGGGAAAACGTGATTTGTATGATGTAATATTTAAAAAATAATGACATTTTGATCAAAATGAAAATGACCAATAAAGGTCGCATAATGGCAGTACAAATTAAAGCTATATATAAAGTAAAATTAAGATATCCATTTTAAGGGGCCAATTAAGACACTTACCAGACATCGCTCTTTAATTTTAAACAAATTTATTGTTAATGAAAAATAAAATCAAAACGTTTTTAACCGCATAGTAAAAAGAAACTACATACGTAACAGACAACTTCAAGTTGATCAAGTTAAGTTAGGACTAAGCACAACAAGAAGCATGTGTATGACCTAGTTTCGATGTTGACATGTGTGCGGTAAAATTTCTTTATTAAAATATGGATTACATTCACTATTTAGTAAAGATAAACCACTACAATTAAACAGATTATAAAAAAGGTTAAACATAAATAATTATTGTTTCGTACTTTGAATATTTTTTTCTCAAGTTTGTTCAGGGCTAGTGGTTAAAGGGTCAGGGCTAGTAAAAATTTGCCAGAGTAGCCCGACTGGTCTAGTATTCTAAAAGCTTAATGTCAAACCTTGAAAGATAAATATTATTTAAGTGGTTCTTTGAATTTATTTCTTTTTTAAGATTTTTTTAAGTTAAAATATGACATTAAATATCATAAAGAGAATACTATAATAACCGCCCCCCTTTTTGCAATTTTCTAAGTGCCCAGGGCGGTTAATAGGGATTATACGGTAATTTATATATTATGGATAATCCTTGCACTATTGTAAAAAATATGGGTAATGTAGTGATTATTTTTTGACATCGTATGGGGAGGCAATGTGGATTTTCCACCATGTCCTCTTATGACCAGCTGTATTTAATGTTGTAGGGGAAGGCAATGTGGATTTTCCACCATGACCTCTTATGATGAGCTGTATTTGATGTAGGGTAGGCAATGTGGATTTTCCACCATGTCCTCTTATGATGAGCTGTATTTAATGTTGTAGGGGAAGGCAATGTGGATTTTCCACCATGTCCTCTTATGACCAGCTGTATTTAATGTTGTAGGGGAAGGCAATGTGGATTTTCCACCATGACCTCTTATGATGAGCTGTATTTGTTGTAGGGTAGGCAATGTGGATTTTCCACCATGTCCTCTTATGATGAGCTGTATTTGATGTTGTAGGGTAGGCAATGTGGATTTTCCACCATGTCCTCTTATGATGAGCTTTATTTGTTGTAGGGTAGGCAATGTGGATTTTCCATCATGTCCTCTTATGATGAGCTGTATTTAATGTTGTAGGGGAAGGCAATGTGGATTTTCCACCATGACCTCTTATGATGAGCTTTATTTGTTGTAGGGTAGGCAATGTGGGTTTTCCACCATGTCCTCTTATGATGAGCTGTATTTAATGTTGTAGGGGAAGGCAATGTGGATTTTCCACCATGTCCTCTTATGATGAGCTTTATTTGTTGTAGGATAGGCAATGTGGGTTTTCCATCATGTCCTCTTATGATGAGCTGTATTTAATGTTGTAGGGGAAGGCAATGTGGATTTTCCATCATGTCCTCTTATGACCAGCTGTATTTAATGTTGTAGGGGAAGGCAATGTGGATTTTCCACCATGTCCTCTTATGATTAGCTTTATTTGTTGTAGGGTAGGCATTGTGGGTTTTCCACCATGTCCTCTTATGATGAGCTGTATTTAATGTTGTAGGGGAAGGCAATGTGGATTTTCCACCATGTCCTCTTATGATGAGCTGTATTTAATGTTGTAGGGGACGGCAATGTGGATTTTCAACCATGTCCTCTTATGACCAGCTGTATTTAATGTTGTAGGGGAAGGCAATGTGGATTTTCAACCATGTCCTCTTATGATGAGCTGTATTCAATGTTGTAGGGAAGGCAATGTGGATTTTCCATCATGTCCTCTTATGATGAGCTGTATTTAATGTTGTAGGGGAAGGCAATGTGGATTTTCCATCATGTCCTCTTATGACCAGCTGTATTTAATGTTGTAGGGGAAGGTAATGTGGATTTTCCATCATGTCCTCTTATGACCAGCTGTATTTAATGTTGTAGGGGAAGGCAATGTGGATTTTCCATCATGTCCTCTTATGACCAGCTGTATTTAATGTTGTAGGGGAAGGCAATGTGGATTTTCCATCATGTCCTCTTATGACCAGCTGTATTTAATGTTGTAGGGGAAGGCAATGTGGATTTTCCATCATGTCCTCTTATGACCAGCTGTATTTGATGTTGTAGGGGAAGGCAGTGTGGATTTTCCACCATGACCTCTTATGACCAGCTGTATTTGATGTTGTAGGGGAAGGCAGTGTGGCTTTTCCATCATGTCCTCTTATGATGAGCTGTATTTAATGTTGTAGGGTAGGCAATGTGGATTTTCCACCATGTCCTCTTATGATGAGCTGTATTTAATGTTGTAGGGGAAGGCAATGTGGATTTTCCATCATGTCCTCTTATGATGAGCTGTATTTAATGTTGTAGGGGAAGGCAATGTGGATTTTCCACCATGTCCTCTTATGATGAGCTGTATTTAATGTTGTAGGGGAAGGCAATGTGGATTTTCCATCATGTCCTCTTATGACCAGCTGTATTTAATGTTGTAGGGGAAGGCAATGTGGATTTTCCACCATGTCCTCTTATGATGAGCTTTATTTGTTGTAGGGTAGGCAATGTGGATTTTCCACCATGACCTCTTATGATGAGCTGTATTTAATGTTGTAGGGGAAGGCAATGTGAATTTTCCATCATGTCCTCTTATGACCAGCTGTATTTAATGTTGTAGGGGAAGGCAATGTGGATTTTCCACCATGTCCTCTTATGATGAGCTTTATTTGTTGTAGGGTAGGCAATGTGGATTTTCCACCATGACCTCTTATGATGAGCTGTATTTAATGTTGTAGGGGAAGGCAATGTGGATTTTCCATCATGTCCTCTTATGACCAGCTGTATGTAATGTTGTAGGGGAAGGCAATGTGGATTTTCCATCATGTCCTCTTATGACCAGCTGTATTTAATGTTGTAGGGGAAGGCAATGTGGATTTTCCACCATGTCCTCTTATGATGAGCTTTATTTGTTGTAGGGTAGGCAATGTGGATTTTCCACCATGTCCTCTTATGATGAGCTGTTAAAACAAGTGGAGAGCCTGAAGGCGGAGAATTCTCACCTGAGACAGGAGCTGAATGAGTCGACGAGTCACCCGGAGTCTGCCGCGTCTGTCGACGTGTTTGTGGGGCTGGACGGGGATTCCGATATCGATGTAATCTACGATGGGGAGGATGGAATTCACGTGTTTCAGCAGGGAGGAGGGGGGGAGGCCCGCGACCACATAGATGAAGGTGGGTGAATTCTCATGTTTTACTGATTGGATTTTAAACATAGATTGGGTTTTATTTTTATTTTGGATCCAGATTTTTAAAAAAAATCTTATAAAAAAGTTTTTAGAAGACTGCTTGTTTTACTTTACTTCAATACATAACGTTTACTGATTATGAGACATTTGTTTACACTAACGAAGTATGCATGTGTATATTTTACCAGTCATAGCCCCACATGATATTCCTGTAAAGGCTTAACTCTACACAGAGTTATCCTTCTTCCTTGATCATTTTATAAGCAACTTTTACTGTTGTGTGGTATATTTTTAAATTAACCTAAAACTAAAGTGAGTTGAAATATTATTCGTCTCCCTTTATGAAATTGAAATCAATAAAAAAAAAACTTGTATAAGTTTTAAACCTCGACCAGAAAAAGGTAACCATTGGGCCACCCTTAAAAAATTGTTTGTTTGGAATTGCCGCCTGAAGGGTTTCAGACTAAGGAGGGAGGGAGGGAAATAATTTTTTTTTCTTGAATTGAAGATAAATTTTAATTTCTTTTATAAAAATCTTAACAGTAAACAGTAAATAGTTACATTTTCTGACTTTTAACAAAAGTATCTACCATCAACAAAAACCCCCTAATTTTACATATATCTGACACTATATTTCAGTGTTTTGTATGGTGTATATGATACATGTAATGGGCAAAAAAATAATAAAAGAAATTGATTAAATAAAAAAAAAAATCTTCCTACTTTTGGTCAATAAATTTTTTTCAGGAGGGGGCATTTCAATGAGGCGGGAGGCAATTCCAATCAAACTATAATTTTATTTTGGCCTTGGAGAAAGAAATCTACCACAAGTAGTGCTAGTACTATCACATTTGTGTATTCTCATCAGGTAACTCCTAGTCACTGAATGTACTATTGCCCAGTCATTCAGTAGTGTTACTGTGTAACAGACAAGATTTGATTTGGAACATTGACACATCTAGTATTTGTTGTATGTACATTGTTGTGAAGATGTCTGATAGGGTAAATTTTAGATGGAGATGAGCCACATCTTAAATGGGTTTATATACAACCACTGTAGTTATGAACAGGGTTTCATTTTTGGTTCAATTTGAAAACTTCCAGGATTTTGGTGTCAGGCTTTTACTTTTTTTCTTCCATTAAAACGCATATTCATGTTTGAGACTGCTGAAAAATTTTAGTGTTCTCATTGGTAAGGAAAAAAGTTGATCTGTTGATCTACATACTAGTATATGATGTTAATTTAAATCTTTAATTTGCACTTAAACTAAAATAACCTTGATATAACATGTTGAACTTGAAGGCATTTCAACATGTTTTTAGAAACCCATTTCTTTTCTTATTCCCTGTTGATTTTTACGAGAACTTGACATAATGAATGAAGTTTCCTCCCAAAATAATTGGCACCTATTGGAGGGTTTGTGTGTTAGACACGATGTCTGATGTGTGTTATGTAATAAGGCTTCTTCTTTAGCTGGCTTCTGCAGCTGTCTGCAGTGTGTGCAGTGACTGTAGCTATAGTTATATTGTGTGTGTGAGTTAGTGTGTAGGACTCAGCTACTCCAATCAATAGAGATGACTCAGACCTCAGCCTCCATACAGTGACAAAGTGTAATATTGAAAAACACTGACAAGTTCATCACAATCTCTCGATGTCCAGGAATATTGGAAAAATTTTATTTTAAATCGTACAGATGTGGTCTTGTTTATTAATGATTAATACCTGGAATAGGAAGTCTCACTAATCAGTGATTATTTTATGGTATCAAAGAGAGGCAGTGAGGGATATATCTCATGTTCCAGACAGTTTTGTTTTCTACTGTACAAAACCAAAGGAATTCCAGTGCAGCTTTTTTGTGAGAGAATGCTGGTGAATGTGCTGTACAGGATTTCCTATCTATAAATCAAAGGAGTTTATGGGAATGGCAGGTGAAAAGCTCACTACAGCTGTGTTTAATTTGGTGAAGTTAGTTGGGGGGTTACAGTAATGGAGGATCACTTATACCTGAGCCCCGAGGATTTAGAGGAGGGGGACCTAGTGATAGGAGAGGACTCATCGTCCAGTCACGACTCCTCCAGCCAGGCGAGTGATGACGGCGAGGATCTAAACGATGACGTGAACGAGGAGGAGGCAGAAGATGATAGCGATGAAGGTAGAGACGTACAGAGAGTCGCCATCAGGCAGCGTGTAGATACTTCATAATCAGTCTGTTACTCATTACATCAGTGGCTGATGGTTTTGTTTGTCTTTTTTTGTTCTGTAGAATTATTAGAGATCTGAGAAATTCACATATTCACATCGTGGCTCAGTTCCATAGTTAAGTTTGAACCGAGAATGTTCATATGATATTCAGTCAAAGAATCTTCTGAAAATTTAATGAGCTGAATCAGTATACAAATGAGTGAGTGTTTAATACTTGGTACAATGTATATGTTTAACAAATTTGTGTCAAAGTGAAGTTGAAATTTTCAGAGCCTAGGAGAATTGAATTATTGATCAGAATCTTAACAGTACAATCCAGTGATCTGCTGTAGTGATATCATTATAAGGTCTGGAGAGAGAGACAGACACAGGGGGTAATTAGATGGTGATTAGAGCGTGTTGTTTTGTGGTAATCTAAACTGTGTGGTGAAGCTGAGAACAATAAAAGAGTGTGTAGTATATACAGATCTGGGGGATTGAATGTCGGACAGCAGCCTCAGCATCACCCCAGCATCCCAGATAAACAAGCAATATTGTCCAACAGACACTTAGACAGATTGTCTGGGGGGATGCCCAACAACACTATAGAGTTATACATTACTTCTAATTGATATGTATTGACTAAATTATTGATTCAATTTTTGCCTAATTATTTTTTTTTTCTTCAAAATAAATGACTCATGAAACTGTCAGTACATTATTTATGAGAACATTACAATTCATTGATAAAACAGGAAACAAAATACTGATAGTTTTCGTGTCTCCCTTGACTAGACATGTACAATTCATGTATGTTAAACATAGAATTAATCTGATAAAACAGACATGTATGTTTAAAGTAGAATTGATCTGATTTTCAGAAGAAGACATTTCCCCCAATGACATAGGTCCACATAAGTCATTTAACATCCCCGTCACAGCCAGTGTACAGAATGGTCACCAGACAAACAAACAGACCAGTACAGATGTCCTCAGTAAACTACAGGAACTCTACACTGAAAGGTCAGATTATCAATAACCATACACCAATATTAAATGAACCACTTAATGGCTAAGGAGGCATGACTAAGTAAAGGGTAGGAGAGAGTTATACGCCAAACATTAGCTCTGAGAAGCTATTTACTGACTAAGAATAATACAATAGTTTTAGCTCACCTGAGCTGCAGGCTCAAGTGAGCTTTTCTGATCAAAATTTGTCCGTCGTTGTCGTCGTAAACTTTTCACATTTTCATCTTCTTTTCAAGAACCACTAGGCCAATTTCAACCAAACTTGCTACAAGGTATCCTTGGGTACAGGAGATTCAAGTTTGTTCAAATGAAGGGCCACGCCCTTTTCCAAGGGGAGATAATTATGAATTAGAGAAAAATTAATGGCATTTTAAAAAAAATCTTCCCAAGAACCACAGGGCCAGGAAAGATGAAACTGTTGTGGAATCATCCTCAGGTAATGTAGATTCAATTTTTTTCAAATCATGACCCCTAGGGGTAGGGTGGGGCCAAAATGGCCGATCAAAGTTTTACATAAGAATATATAGGAAAAATCTGTAAAAAATCTTCTTCTCAAGAACCACTGGGCCAAGAAAGATGAAACTCATGTGGAATCATCCTCAGGTAATGTAGATTCAAGTTTGTTCAAATCATGACCCCCGGGGGTAGGGTGGGGTCAAAATGGCCGATCAAATTTTTACATAGGAATATATAGGAAAAATCTATAAAAATCTTTTCCTCAAGAATCACTGGGCCAGGAAAGATGAAACTCATGTGGAATCATCCTCAGGTAATGTAGATTCAAGTTTGTTCAATTCATGACCCCCAGGGGTAGGGTGGGGCCAAAATGGCCGATCAAAGTTTTACATAGGAATATATAGGAAAAATCTTTTAAAATCTTCTTTTCAAGTACTTCAAAGCCATGATTAGTAATATTTATATGGAATCATCCTCAGGTAGTGTAGATTCAATTTTGTTCAAATCATGATCCCCTCGGGGGTTAAAATTCACACACACCCCCTCCCCCCCCCCCCCGTAAACTTTCAGTTCTGATCTGATATGTGCTTTTTCCTAGCCGATGTGCTCAGGTGAGTGCTGTGGCCACTGGGCCTCTTGTTTTTGTAACCATGATTTAGTAATTTTTTAGCTGTGTATGTCATACATGTTTTGACACACTTATAAGTTATTTATTGTTTAATTTCTATAGATCTGCTATATTGACCTACATTGAGGAGGAAGACAGACAGAGGAAATGGTACATCTCCCAGCTAGACAACGTACGGCAGAGACTGGAGAAGATCCCTCATACAGACGGGGTATGTTGGGTTAATGGGGGCGTGTAACTGAATATCTAGTAGTAGAGCAGATTTCAAAACATTTCAGATAGGGAAATCACAAGATCAATATCTGATTTAAAAAAAACCTGAATTGGAATTGTAAGTAGGTGAGGGTAAAGATTCCTGAAATTATCACGAGCTTTGAAGAGAAGCACTTAAATTCAAAAGGAAACCTTGCCAGACATCTTTGTCTTACTTGACAAATCATCCATGCTTAAAATCAATTGTACAATTGAAAAGTCTGTTCTGTATAATGTGGTATGATTAAGACTGTTGATGTTTGTATTGATGATGTTTTCCTGTGAACTTTGATTACAGTATCCCAAAGACAAAGAGTTGATGCGACGTAAGATAGAATATGAAGGTAAACAGATCCAGGAGATGTTTCTACAGAACCTGGGGACAGCCGAGCAAATCTCCCAGAGACAGGAAGTCCGTCTGTCACGAATTAGCTCCATAGAGACCGAAATGCTGGAACTCCAAAAAACAAAGAAACTCAAGGTACTAGAGGCTTCACATAGATTGGCTACTTGTATTAGACAATTATTATACCCCCTGCTTGAAAAGTAAGTATATAGTAATAGGTATGTCCGTCCGTTTGTCTGTCTGTTACGCTTTGGAGTACCCATCTCATATCCGCTGAATGAAATTTGATGAGATTTTCACAGAATTTTAATTACATAATGCCATTGTGCACCTCCCTTTTTACTTTTTAGTTGGACACATAGTTTGGGTTTCCCGTAGCTAAACATGGACACTGCTATTATATTCATATGGGAGGTGGGGGGTATTATTTAGTGATCTCATTGCTCACAGTACCTAGTTTCAGTTATACCTCATATAAACTGTGCAGCTTGAATTGGTACAAATATTTCGGAAGGTGTTAAAGAAAATTAGACCACTGTTTCCAAACTCACTAATTAATGTACATACCATTTTGTGTGCAATGTTACAGTGCTTGGAAGCAAAAAAGTACACATTTTGTTCCCCATTTACATTGGTTGTATTTTTGGTAAGAATTGAATCTAGACTTTTGATTGCAGTAAGTTTCAAGTAGGTACAGTTTATGGTGAGTGTTGCTCAGCTGCATATTATAATTTTTAACAATGTTTAAATCTTTACAAGGATTTTTAATGAGGTTAAATTTAGTTATTGAAATTGTGAAAATTGCGGCCACAGTGGTTTTCCAATCTTATGAGGAGAAAAGTAATTTAGAAGATTGGTTAAGAAAAGGAACCCTTAGTGATAAGGTGAATGAACCCTAGAGCTACACTTCGTGATGAAAACATATCCCAATGTAGACACCAGCATGGCTGGATTACACATTACAGTAAAAATTGTTTTGACAAGTTGTGTCTTCAGCTATTTTGTAACACACTCAGAATGTGTTACCAGGTATACAACAGTAATGTTCAGTCTTTTTTTGCAGCTATTAGTGGTGTATATCCTCAGATATATTCTATGAAGAATCTGGCCATTGCATTGCAAAGGGAGATAATGCTTACAAATTTCATTTGACAATGTTATAAATATATTTATAAATATAAGTGATATTGCATCCCATATGGATACATGAATTTATGTACATTTAAGAGTAATACGTAATATCGCGAGTACCTAGCAGTTATCTAACTTACTACCGCTCTTTTGCGGGAGAGTCGAGAAAGCTCTAAATCTCACAAGATTTCTGGGGCACATGACATTGTTTACAGTAGTGACAATCAAATGATTCAAAATTTTATGCGGAAAATACAATGTATTTCCAAGTATTGAACTCCAAATAGTAGATTGTCAAACAAGGAAAATTTAGAATATTTTATCAGCTTTAAAATGTGATAATTTTCAATGAAAATTTAATGAGAAGAGTCTGCTCAGTTAAAAATATCTTTAAAAATGTAACATTTTAGGATTAGCGCCTCTCAAAAATTGATTAGGCTGGTTCAGCGATTGTTTAGCAAGGTATTACACCCGAAATTTTTACGTATCTGTCCTTATTAATTGTACAATGATCGATCTTGCTGATTCTTGAATTGTATTCAATAGCACATTTGCCCCCATCCAACAGACCTACTTCATCACGAAAGAGTTCAGCTAAGTTAAGTAATCGCGATATCAAGTATAATTATCAGTGATTTTTCTACACTCAATTTAGGTCCGAATATCGGCCCTTTCCCCTCTCAAAAATTACCGATTTTTTCCCAATTTTGAACTGCTTTTTTCCCAAAATCAAAACGTATTGTTTTGATTATATTGAATTTTTAATGTATGACTTATCTAAAATTGAACGCTATTATTTTTGGTCATTCGGACGCTTAAAATAATATTGAAACACAGCAGTTTATTTGTGTGTTTGCAAGACTTGGATTTAAACACATCGATCATGTGGATGTCAAACTTTGTGTGTCAATACATCGTAAGAAATTTAATATGCATGTGAATCTGTTAAATATAGCTTTATTTGTAAATTGCAAGGACTAATAGTTCTACAACAAGCTTCCTTGATTTCACGAAAATTAAACTGTTTCTTCGTCCTGTATATACATGTACTAGCATTGCAGAGAAATACAGCAATACATGCTTGTAAATCGTGTCAAGATTATTCCATCTCCAATGCAAGCAATATTGAGAAATCGGGAATGATTTTTTCTCAATTAAGTCTACCATTATGGCAAAAAAATGGAATATAGGACAATCAACAATCAACGGAACAAAAATGAAAGAAAATGAAAAATGTAGAACTGTATCCATTTTGTTGAAAAATTTTGTAGCAAATAAATTTAATAAATGATGTAACATTTACTTATATATTTAATTTTACTTGTCAATATGAAGGTTAATTACAATCTTATTGTTTTTCCCAATTTGACACAAATGTCGACAATTTTTCCCAATTGAAAAGGCCCAGGCCCCTTTTAAAAATTGTAGAAAAATCACTGTAATTATGTTCCCCAAACGAAGTTTGGGAACATATTGTTTTTACTTTTTTTCTGAATTTTCTTCTCCGGTACTTTTTTTGTCCGCGAGTGTTCTCGTAAACTACTCATCCGATGTAGGTGAAACCTTTTTAGGGTCACTAGGTATGTTATGTAGATGTGCGGAACGAAGGTCATTTTGCGCGCACGTGCGTGCATGTGCGCACACGTGTAACGCGTGAAATAACCAATATGATAGATATAGCCGTAACCTTTTAAATTTTTGATGAAATGCCTTGAAACTCATAATATAAGGATATAATAGTAGTATAGACATGACGACGTGGTCAAAATAGCAAGATCTTACGCGCATGCACGTGCGCTTCGTTCCGATTGGTTGAAACAAAAGTCTTTATATCTTTTTTGTTTTCTGACAAAATCCTTTGAAATTTTGAACATCGTCGTACATTATGAAGATCTACAGCATGGTATATAAGAATAATCATGAACGCACGCACATGCACGTTAGCTGCAATCTGATTGGCTAAAAGTTTAAATGCCTAAAACTTTCTTAGTTCTCAATAATACAGGGTGAAATTTCGAATATGAGTAGATATAATGCATGCCTACATTATTCTACCATCAAAAGTAAATGCAAGGACGTCATGCACATGCGCGCACACACAATGCGTTAAACGACAGTATACTTAAGTCTTTTGATGTTCATGCAGAATTAAGAACTTATAAATGTAAAGACATGTAACATACTGAAGCAGATCTTTTTACCCTTGACCTTGATACTTAGGTCAAGGTCACTATTAACCTGAATAAAATGTTGATATTAGCTATTTACCAGAATGACATTGACCTATAAACTTGAAATCGACCTTAACCTTTGACCTTAACCCAAGGGTAGAAAGACCCCCCCCCTCACACAAAGTAGACAATCACTGTAAAGCTCAAAGTACACCTCGGACCCACATAACATTTCAAGGAAACTGCAGAAAAGAGCTCGAAGAAAGAGTATTAAAATATTTGATGTGAGTTTCCAAAGTATAAAGAAATTATTAATTTCATTAATTACAAATCCTGTCGTGTTTGAAATTAAAGTACAGATGAACAAAGTTGGTATATAAGCCTAATATGTTTACATGTATTTATTCGGATGTCGTTAATAGCATTCAATTCTACTGATTTGAAACAATATTTTAATACCAAGCATCCTTTGTTTATTTAACCTTTGAAATTTAATTGATTTTTTTTTAGAATTACGCAATCCCCAGAAATTCAAAATCAATTTACATGTACGCTCCTTCGTAAAAAAAAAATTATCAGGTAGACTATTTGCATTCATGAAAAATATATTAATAAGAAGGTCTTAAAGAATATTGGTCACATTAGCTGATACGAATGTCTTTATAAATATCTATTGTAAACCCCAGAAAGTAGCCTCCTGTGCATTGGAAAAAATGAATAGTTCCGGTCAAAAACCTTTACATGTATATATTTATTTACATAGTATATAAAAATTACTAGGCACAGGTACGAGGGTTGTCAAAATGACCAGAGAGGAAATATATCTAAAAAAATCTGAACAGATTAAAGGAAAATCCCTTTTCTATGTATGGAACTAAAATTGACTAAGTTCATTTTGATTGGTTAGCTATCGGCGTGATATCCTTAGTCGACTTTAACACTGCCTTGTCGTAGGAATAAAACCAACTTTGAGCCCGAGATTAAAATCAGTAGAGAATTTAAATGTGAATAGGTATTTCAAAAAATGATATATATTTGAAATGTGGTAACTTTATATCTGTAATTTTTTCTATTATTCGCGGGATAGAAAGATGTAACCTTAACCAACATGCCATGATCATCTTGCATATGCATGTACATGTACGTGTGCGCCAAAGCAAAACGTTAAATGATATATAGTTGATATCATTGTAACTTTTATATCTTTAAATGAAATCCTTAAAACCTTAGTATATTTATAAAAGGTGTTACAGGAAAAGCTATGGCACGAAAAGGGACATGGGGAGCGTTTGGGGAACATCTGTAACGGTCCCCGTTACAATTAGCCCTAGTTATAAATAACTGTGAGAAAATACACTTGTACAAAGTAGCCATTACCACACAACAGATATTAAACTACAATTTGTAAAAGTTTTAGGGATATTCTTTATATGGAGTATAGACAACACTCTTGTAAACTATGAAAGTGTTCTATGCATGTGAGAATTCACTCAAATGGGTACAAGCATGTGTGACATACATGTATTCTTGGTATGCCCATTAATAGATTTTATCAATTTCATTGAATTATTATATAAAATGCTTGTGATTGTATTTAAATTCTTCTTTTATTGCTGTTTCCTTTGACTAAGGTTTGTTTTCTGCTTTACTTTAGGTTGGTGGGGAGAAGGAAGTGAGTGGCATACTTTATCAGGAGGAGAGTGTGGGGGTTAATATAGCCTCCCTGTATCACGGGGCGTGGCCCCTCAGCACCAACACTAAAGGTACGGTATACTTATCAGATCAGTTTATTTAATTAACCATGTGACAGTGACCTACACTCTGCTACTATAACATTATATTTAGATCGCCTGCTCCACCTCTTACAAATCCTTGACCTGTTATAGATTACTAACTAGAGATTGATTGATTGATTGTATGTGTCTTATTGTATTGTATTGCATATATCTCCATTTAGAATAATTTATTTGTTGACTGTTTCAATGTATAAAATGAACACATGAATTGTAAGCTATCAGTATAGCCTATCTATAAAAAGTTAAATTATGCTTTTCTAAATTGCCTTATATTAAGTCAATCAGAACTCCTTGAAAGGTCACCAGCATCTCAAAAATGCCACTTACTGTATAGAGTTCTGTAGTTTCATTTGTTATTCATGGAGATCAATCTAAAGTTAGTGTAACCAATGTGTCCTACTTTTCTTCTAAAAATTTACTAATGGTATTTTGGTACGAAAATAGTTTGCCAATTGTGAAACATTAATGGTTTTTTAGCTCACCTCAACGAAGTTGGGGGAGCTTATGTAATACCCTCGGTGTCGGCGTCGGCGTCCCAGGTTAAGTTTTTTGGAGCAGTTTTCTTTTTAAGTACTTCTATGTCCTATATTGATTAGACATGCATGGAAGATGCTTCTAGTGTGTTTCATTGTACCAGCATACCTGTTTACTCTTACGATTTCGCCGTATTTTTTACGGATTTTTAGTCTAAAATACGTCTCACGTTTTGCCATTATGAAAATACGGAAATCAGAAATAAGTTAGTTTGGAATTTAACAGTTAGTTTTCGTTATGATCTGATGTAGATTTACTCTATTTATCGCTAAATAAGAGAAAGATTTCAAACACATAAGCGATGTCAGGTTGCCAAAACGCTGTGGTATTCTTAAATGACAAAGACCTTGTTGTTAAACCATGTTTTTTGTAATCAGAAAAGCAGTTTTTCTCTTTTAATATATGTAAAATTGATGGAAAATGAAATCTTACTGGCAAATGCCAAATCTCACGGACAAATCTAAAGAAAAATACTGAGAGACAACGTTATGGGTAAACAGGTCTGTACCAGTCAAAGTTTCAGATGCTGCAATTTCAGCAGAGGAATGACCAGGTTAATGTTTTTGGAGCAGGTTAACATTTTTGGTGCACTTTTTGGTGTAGGTCTCATTTCCAAGGAATTATAAAGCCTATGTTGACCAAACTTGCATGGATGATACATCTAAGGATGCACACTACCGGGCTTGCTTCGGATGCTGAATCTGACCTACATTTTCCGGTTGAGTGAACAGGTTAAAGTTTTTGGTGCAGATTTCATTTCCAAGTAACTATAAGCCCTATGTTGACCAAACTTGCATGGATGATACATCTAAGGATGCATACTACCAGGCTTGCTTCGGACGTTGAATCTGACCTACATTTTCCGGTTGAGTAAACAGGTTAAATTTTTTGGTGCAGGTTTCATTTCCAAGTAACTATAAGCCCTATGTTGACCAAACTTGCGTGGATGATACATCTAAGGATGCATACTACCAGGCTTGCTTCGGATGCTTAATCTGACCTACGTTTTCCGGTTGAGTAAACAGGTTAAAGGTTTTGGTGCAGGTCTCATTTCTAATATACTATGAGCCCTATAATGACTTAACTTGCATGGATGATAGGTCTAAAGATGCATACTACCAGGCTTGCTTCAGATGCTGAATCTGACCTACATTTTCTGCTTGAGTAAACAGGTTAAAGTTTATGGTGCAGATTTCATTTCCAAGTAACTATGAGTTCTTTAATGACCAAACTTGCATGGACGATACATCTTAGGATGCACACTAATGGACTTGCTTCGGATGCTGAATTCAACATACATTTTTCAGATAATGGACCAGGTAAAAGTTATGGTTACAGGTCTATTACCAAAAAGCTATAAGGCTTATATAACATTGTGTAAACCAAACTTGCACAAATGATGCATCAAAGGATGAAAACTCTCAAATTTGCTTCAGATGCTGGATTTTAATTACATTTTCATGAAGAACTAGTTTGAATTTTTTATATAGGTCTATTTCAAAGTATCAAATCACAATTGCATGAATATTTTCATTTTTGGAATGTACACTTTTTGTTGGTTAATTGTGTGACTTTGCCTTATTTAAAGACAACATTCGTTGAGGTGAGCTCTGTAATCTCTGATTACCTATGTTTTTTTTATAGAAAAATAGTTTGCCAATTGTGAAAATTTTATTCAACTTTTATAGTAAATATGAAGATGATGAATACTAGTATTTATCACTCTTGCAACTACTTAGTGTTGTCAAATATGACTCTGAACCCTTTTGTATATAAATTTATGGACAATGTAAATTCCTGAATGAAGGGTATCCACAAAGTCCACAAAGCTAATGATTCCACTACATTTTAGTAATAATTACTGATTCATACAATGATCCATGAATATCAGATCCAGTGAAGTTGCAGGGCTCAAAATAATTGTTGGCCCACAGGTCTAGGGCTAGTAAATTTTATATATTGCATTATAGACTGAACATGTCCTAGGGAGCAGTGATTATTTTATGCACATCAATTCTCAGTTTTCTAGTTCACTAGAAAGGTTTGTGCGTCTATTTGCATGCAAACACTATAGAGTAAAACATGTTTATAACAAAGGGCCATGCAGGCACATGCAAGTTTGATTCATTATAAACATAATTCATTATATCTATCAAGATAGCAATACCATTTTAAACCACAGGGTATAAAACTAACTTCACTGTAAGCGTGATTTAATTATAAACATGTTCCCTATCATCATGTTTCACTGTACTAGGCACAGAGGTTGCTTCTGACCAGAGAATAACAACCTTGGTCATTTGGACAAGGTCAAGGCTAGGTCACTGGATATTAAGTGGAAATTTCTTGTTCATATTATAATTTTGTAATGAAATAACTTGCAAAGGTCTTACTTGCCTTCAGGTTTGTTTGTGATCATAGAATATGCCATGAAGCTGAACAAAGGTCATTTAAATAAGGTTAAGGTCATAGTGTTCAGAATTAGCATTCTAATTCTTGGGCTGTGGAAGATGATATTTTTTCGTTGTTTATACGCACACACAGGTTAGTCAGATACGTGTTACCATCTTCAACCAATACATCTCAACCAGATTTAGGCCATGGGAATTAGCTGTTTAATTTTTTATATGAACAGAGAGAGTTCTTAAAGCTGCTTTTAACTTCATCCCTTAGGAATGTTTAAGTTTTAGAATTGTTTGTGTTGATCTAGAGCTCTGAAAATTCTAAAATCCAGGAGTTAAAAATACTTTGCCAATCTGACATATGTTTTATAATTTCTTGGTAATCAGATGGCAGATGCAGAGGTAAATTAACACAAAAACTTAGAAACATGGCTTTGGAAATCTCCCAGAATAATCTGGGTTGACTTGAGAAGTGAGTGTTTAGTTGGTTGAGATAGAGGGGGGAATCTTTGAAGTGAAGGACCCACTAATGAATCCACAGGAGGAGAAATTACAGGTGTCAGGGGGGACTTCGTGTTTCACTGCCTGATACAGGAGCTGGGCTTACAGGCTCAGTTTGTGTTTAAAATTCAGAAAACAAAGTACTTATTGTTTTGGGAAATATTTCTAAGCTAGAATTGGTAAGTGTGGAGTATTTTATTATTGTGTGAAGGGTTTAACTTTCTCTGACCTTGAGTGGAGGTTTGGCACTGATAAGATTAGCTACGTATCAGTTTTGTCTGAAGCTATTGATTGACACGGAATAATTGCAGAAAGTCAGGCCTAGCTGTAGACACAGCAGAACTAAAAACACAACATCAATACATGGATAAAGGGGAAATATCAATGACCTGTATTGATTCACACTTTGTAAAAAAGGAATGTTTTTTAAGAGATGAACATGATGTAAAAAAACAAAAAAACAAACTGCCTTAATGAACATGGATAAAAAACAGATTTTTTGTGAATTCTTTAAAACCGCATGAGAATATAAACTATGTAATTAATATACATCTTTTGAATTTTTTTATCTCACCATTTTATAAGGAAAGAAGAGTTTCTTTAGAATCAGACAAGTGAATTAAATGTTCTGTCAGAAATGGAGTCATTGTGGCTCAGACTAAAAGCCTGTAATGATACATATCATGATTAAGGTTGCAGGAATCATTTATATCTAAAGAATTATGTTACATTAAGGGGAAAAAATTCACAAAAAGGGTGGTTTCTGTTCTTTGTGTTGCAATGATCCAGACTTCATTAAACCCACTTCTGAACAACTTTTTTTGTAATTCTGAATTCTGATTCTGGGGTGTGTCAAAATTTTAAGAAGTTTAGATTATATTACAGATGTGAGGTCAAATATTACATTGGAAGGCCTTGGGTGTTTCAGAGAGGTTAAATATGAAGTGAAAACTGGATTAAATCAGTGTTAATGCAAAATGAGATCTTGTTCTTACCGAAGTGTAATTCCATTCTATTATAGTATCAAATTACTATAGAGGTCATAATTCTGGCAATAACTTTGTGTAATCTCACAGATATGAGAGGACAAGATTCATGGTCATTGTGTTTCATAAAACTGAATGGCTAGAAATATTCATTGTATAAAAAATGTCAGAAATGTAAACGAATATTTCGAAAATGCAATGTAAAATTCCAGAAATGATATGCAGTTTTGGTTGTGTCATTAGAAAACTAAAGCATTTTGTGGATGTACAGTGCAGAAATACAAATCATGGCAAAAAGGAATTCATTTTTTACGTCTTTATATCAGACATTAAGATAGGATGGTATGTCTGTTGAACAATATTTTTTGGGGGGTATTGGCTTGTCTTTCAGAACTGAAACTTTCAAGAATTATAATTAGGTGTGAATACCAAGATAAAGGATCCCAAAGGATAACCAAGTAATACTGTATAGTGTGAGTGTGACCTGTGGTACCAGTGCCACTTTAGTTTGCATTTTTCCTCAAAATAATTCATTACCATGGCTCGATCAGGCTGTATTCTAGATTTGATCAATACATCACATTTTGCCACAACTTTCTGCTTCAAAAAGGTCTATCAAGGACAGCTAGCTAGTGTATTGCCTTGGTAAGGCAGCAAATTCAGAATCAGAATTTACAAGATTTTAAACATTAGGAAAATGGCTGCCACTTTAGAACTGGATGCACCTTCATGGCCATTTAATAATAAGTGATTTTCTGTTGTTTGTCATCAATAAATATACATTTAATGGCAAAATGCATGTTCACTACAGGAGAAATTTAGAAGTCATACCTAGGAAAGAATGACAGGTCATTTATGTACTTGTAAGCAGTGGCCAAAAATAATACTGTATATTTCTTTAGACTTACAAACTGTTATACTTTTACAAGCTGTACATGTCGAATCTGAGAAACATTATAAGTTTTGAAAAAACAAATCTTAAATGTTTAATGATATTTTCATTCAGGCCATATTAAAATTTATTTATTAGACTATGTGACAGGTTTGAAAAGTAGCACTCTTCTTTCTAAAATAATCCCATTAAAAAGGGTTCTCAATATCGGAAAATATGAAGAATTGACAAGTGTATATATATGTATATTATTTTGTAGATGGATCACGAGAAGGCTCCAGTCACGGGTCCGGTCACCAGGAGATCGCCAGTATCATGAGCTTTAACTCCGCCAACACTAACGCCACACAGCCACCACAGGCACCGCAATCACCACGGCAACATGGCCAGCCACTCATGTCAGGCGCCTTTACAATGTCGCAGGGACACCAAGCTGATGGGGGTCCAGCAGGGCAGACACCGCAGCAGCTCGGAACCAAGGTGTGTAGGCACAAGCCAGGATAATCTGTTATTACAGCAGTCAGTTATCTGTTATACTAGCCTATGGTTTTCTCTTAAAGCATTGAAGTCCATAGATAGCAAAAATAATCTTTTTTTGAAAAACAGTAACTAATGTAATGTTTTATATCAAAGTTTATGCAGATTATGTATGTTTTTTAAGGTGGAGATGGTGTATTCATTGCTGTCTATGTTGGGAACACATGACAAAGATGATATGTCAAGGACACTGCTAGCCATGTCTAGTTCACAGGACAGCTGTATAGCCATGAGACAGTCAGGTCAGTATGTCATTGTGTATTTAACAGGATAGTTATGAAACTGGTCAGTATGTGTAATGTAATCTACTGCAACTGGTACAGATTGGCATTTTAATTATATTTATTTATTTGTACAGGCTGTCTGCCTCTACTGATACAGCTGTTACATGGTAGTGATAAGGACTCTGGACTGCTGGGTAACACTAGAGGCAGTAAGGCAGCGAGGGAGCGGGCGGCGGCGGCCCTACACAACATCGTCCACTCTCACCCCGACGACAAGCGGGGCCGCCGCGAGGCCCGAGTCCTGAGGTTCCTGGAACAGATCCGGGCTCACTGTGACCAGCTGAGGGAGATACAGAGTGATGGACAGGAGGTGTCAGGTGAGAAACAAGGCACACCTGGAGATTATAATACCTTTATATACATCCCTTGATACTAGATTTCTTAGCTTTATATATGCTATAGGTAAACCATATATCCAGAGGCCACTAAGAGAACACAAAGTATCTTATATAAATGGTCTTAAAATTTGTTTACATGAACAAGTTTTGAGAGGGAATATGTAGAAAAAAAATTCTAATAGAAGAAAAGAAAATTGATAACTCAGGTTACTATAAGACTTGAGCTTTTTTCTCCAACACCAAGAATGTCTGAAGTAAGGAACTTTTTAAAAGAATACAAGATATCTGCTACCTTTTGTTGATGATTTGCTGTTTGTTTTACAGAGGATATGGACCACCAGCCAGGCCCTGCTGTAGCAGCCCTGATGAAGCTGTCATTTGATGAAGAACACCGCCACGCCATCTGTAGTCTAGGTAAGTTATTTCATATCTAGTTATTCTAGTATTCTCCAACAAACTCTTCATGGTACCCCGACTGATGATTGTTGTGGCATACCTCATATTTACTGAATTAAAGATTACCAAATCTGTAAATGACAATTCAACTTACAAATGACATATGTAAAAGAAAAAAAAACAAATTCATCTAAAATACTGTGAGAGACCAAAACATTATCATAATCAAATTTTTTTCATTGGCTTACTGTTTAATGGTAAAGCCACAAGATATCACATTGTTGTATTTAGATGATATTTATTTATCTTTGTATATGTTATCAGGTGGAGTACAAGCTATAGCGGAGTTGTTAGAGGTGGATCACGGAGTTCACCTCTCTGAGGTGGAGCTGTATAACATCACAATGCGGCGGTATGGCTGTATGGCCCTCACTAACCTCACGTTCGGGGACGGGACTAACAAGGCCCTGCTGTGTTCTATGAGGAGTTTTATGGAGGCCCTAGTGGCTCAGTTACACTGTGATTGTGAGGACCTCAACCAGGTATAACTTCGAACATAAAATTTTTGTTCTTGGTCATTGACAAAAAATTTCACGAACGAATTCAAATGGAAAAAATTGTTTATTGCAGATTCCTAAATGATGATGTTGATTGCTAAGAAATTATGATGATGCCCATATTTCATAAATACACCTCATAAAAGAAATAAAAACAAAAAAACAAATTGAATAAAGCCTTTATTCCACAAATTTTATCTACCCAAAGCAATAAAAGTAATGACCCTGTTTGTTTATTTTACAGGTAGCTGCCAGTGTTCTCCGTAACCTGTCCTGGAAGGCTGACCTTCAGAGTAAGAAAACACTGCGAGCTGTAGGGGCAGCCACCAAACTAATGGGAGCCGCCATGAGAGTCAAGAAGGAGGCCACCCTGAAAAGTATTCTTAGTGCTCTGTGGAACTTGTCAGCTCATGGAAGTGAAAACAAAGCCGAGATTTGTGCTGTGGAAGGAGCTCTAGAATTCCTTGTTAGTACTCTCACCTACAAAAGTCCTTCAAAGACTACTGCAGTGATAGAAAATGGAGGCGGTGTTTTACGTAATATCTCTAGTCATATCACAGTGCGTGAAGACTACCGCCAGATTCTACGCAAACAGGGCTGTTTACAAATTCTTCTTAAACAACTGCGCTCACCAAGTCTGAACATTGTCAGTAATGCTTGTGGCACTTTGTGGAACTTATCAGCAAGGTGCGCTGAAGATCAGAAGGCCCTACTGGATATGGGGGCAGTGGGAATGTTACGAAATCTCGTAAACTCAAAACATCAGATGATTTCTATGGGAAGTTCTGCAGCTTTAAAGAACCTTCTGACTGCGTGTAATATCAAAACTATGGGAATGGACAAAAAAGCTTTTTCAAACCGACCGTCCTTACATGTGCGTAAACAGAAAGCTCTTGCAGAGGAAATAGATCAGAGTTTGTCAGAAACGTGTGAAAATGTGGAAAGTCCTCGAGACAGTCCCACAGAAAATGGTCGATCAGACAAGGATCAAAGTCGTTTCCATTTCCCAGCTAACTCTGGTGTATGTAATGATGGAGAGAGAACACAGAATAGAGGACACAGCTTCCCTAAGAGTCTGAGTGGTGAGAACACGCCTATGTCTGACAGTCACCTCATGTCTCCTCACCGCGTGGCTCGCTCTGGGAGCCAGGACAGTGTAGGAAGCACCCACTCCGACATTTCTCATGACAGGACACGATTCCACATGGCCATGAAGAAAGCCAAGAGTATGACTGACAGACAAGGAGGGAGTCTGGACAGACAGCAGGGGAACATGATCCCCAGAGTCCACTCTGATGGCAGCTGTGAGGACACTCCACAACCCAGCAGCAGGATCATCCAAGTCATGAAGGAAGTAGCAAAGCATGCTGGGATTGATTCAGACTCGGGGTCCAAGGGCAGTTCTCATTCACAGACCAGCACACCTAGAAAAATGGATTCATCTTATTCCTACTCTCAGTCTTTATTGGTTAGAAGTTACACCGGCCCCAGTTTAAGCCAGGGGCATGGAACTCCATTTGGTGGTCAGTTTGGGAAACTTCCTTACTCCAGCAGCATGGATAGTGAACAACCCATTGATTATAGTATGAACAAATCAATCAAATCACCAATACCTCTCAAGTATGGCAATTATGTAGGGCAGTCTTATGAACAACAACACATCAATTCAGTCAACATGCATCATTCTTATAATGGACCACAGAAAGCGGCTCAAAACTTGTTCAGCCTATCTCAACACAGCTCTGTGTATGCAGAAACAGACCTAGACTGTGAACAGCCTACAGACTATAGCCGTAGGTTTGCTGAGAGCCATGAGGATAGTGATGGAGATCAACCCTACGACATTCGATATGAGGACAATTGTGCAGATTGTAAACTCGATATAGCAAGAAGAACTAACGACAGACTGGAATTCCTTCCTGGTTATAATGATGACCAAATCAAAACATTCTGCACCGAGGGAACGCCTCGTAATTATCTCTCTACAGCCAACTCCCTGACAGACCTCAGTAAGGGAGAGAAGGAGGACACACAGAAGGAACAGACAGATGAGGAAGAAGAGGAGGAGGAGGATTATCAGTACGAGGAGGAGGAGTCAGGGTCCATAGAGAAGAGGAGTGGGAGTGGCAGTCAGAGCACCAATCAAAACACAGGAACCACAGTCATAGCCAGCTACCACGTGGCTACCAAAAACCTCCAACAGGTCGCCTGTAGTAAGTCACCCAGTCAGGACGAGAGCATCAGTAGGTCATTTCATGCCCCAAATGAAAATGACAATTCACCAGACCAAGTCAAGACGTACTGTGAAGAAGGCACTCCTATCTGTTTTTCTAGAGTGAGTTCACTAAGTAGCCTCCACAGCAGTGAAGCTCAGGATAGACAAGTGGAGGCCAACAGATCAAATCTAAGAAATTCTAGAGGATTACACAGTATAGACGAAAATGACAGTGCCAAAACTCCTCCTAGGGATGTCAAAGTGGTGAATTCTATAATGGCTCCTCCAAAATACACACAAAACTCAGGACGCCAAAAACTTCTGAGTGAATCTGATTCACAAGGACCAGATAGTGCTGAAAAAGAACACAAGACAGTTACATTCAATGATGACCACCAGATTCAGGAGACACCCCTCATGTTCTCACGCTGCAGTTCCCTGGGATCTTTGAGCAGTTTCGATGCATATTCTGTGCACAGTTCTGTGATTAGTGACTATAGTCGCAGAGCAAGTGAAGTTGTTTCTCCGAGTGAACTACCAGACTCGCCGAGTGAAACAATGCCACCCAGTCCATCAAAGAGCCCAGACCCTGAGCTGCAACAAAACTCCAACAATGCTCAGAAACTTGAGAGCTTTATCGAGGGCACACCAAAGACTGTGCTTTTTCGTCCGTTGCCAACTAAAGTATCAAATGATAACAAAATGGCTAACATAGAAATCGCTTCAACCATGAGTCGTGATGAGGCTCCAGTTGTTTACGCAGATGAAGGGACTCCACCACACATGTCAGAAACTAACAGTGTCCTAAGCACGCTGACCATAGATGATGCAAACAAAGCCAAAGCCACAGATAAAACTAAAATGGAGAAGACTGTAGTTAATGGTAACCTGAAGCCAGAGGAGGAATCGGATGACAAGGAGAACTCGCAGTCCGAGGTGTCTGTGTATGAAGAGGACATACTGAAGGAGTGTATCCGTACAGCCATGCCACGCAAACCACGGCGCAGCTCCTCCGACAATGCCCTAAAAAAGAAGACAATCAGCAACACTGACAATCAGAACAAGATGTCTCAGTCAGTGGAGGGAATCAAGCCGGCACCTAAATCCAAGCCAGGTCCCAGTCACCACTCCTCCGTCAGCCACCACTCCTCTGTTAGCGAGGAGAGCGAGGCAGACTGTGTACGTACATACGCCTCGGAAGATTTCCCAACTCAAAGTCAAATGCAGAGGCAAAAAGGGGTTCCTAGTAAAGTCACCAAGCCAATGTTAAATGAAAAAGTTGTCAATGAATTTAGTGCAGACAGTATTAAACCTTTTGCTGAGGAAGATGTTCCTTTTAGTGAAAAAATGAAGAAATCTATCAAAACACCTGTGAAACCTCAGATTCCTAAAAATAGTTCCTGCCCAGTGATCACCATGGAAGAAAATTTAGACAGTGTAACTTCCTATGCAAGTGAAGGCCAGCCATCCTCTAAACCTGTTCAAGCAGCAAAGCATTATAAAAAGGTCAAAGAAATTCTTAATGGTAAATTGGATGTATTGGAGTCACATGATGACGATGTTAAGCTTTATGCAGATGAAGACACACCATTTCAAGGAACAGTCGCCATGCCTGCTCGCCATAGTGAAAATAAGCCACACATTCTACAGAACACTGTCAGATTTAATCCTGCTCTACTTTCACAGATGGACTACCTGTTTGATGATGAAGAGGCTCCGAGGTCATATGCAATGGAAGACACTCCATACAACCTGTCTGAACCCACCTCACCAAAAAACACAGTGAAGAAGGCCCCACCTCCTGTTCCTCAAAAACCAGTCCGCCCTAACAATGTACCAAAGTTTAACCCTTCACTGCTGTCACAGATACAAGATGTTCCTGATGATGATGCTCCAAAGTCATATGCAGTGGAGGACACACCATATAACATGTCAAAGCCTACGTCTCCCACCCCTAAAGTGCAGATTAACAGCCCACCAAGCACAGAGTCAGCCCAGCCAGTGTGCCTTGTCAAACCTATGGTACATGTAGAGGACCCAGCTACTTACTGCGAGGATACAATGAAAACCTACGCAACAGAGGACACCCCAATTAACTTCTCCCATTCTACTTCTCTCAGTGATTTAAGTATTATAACAGGAATGTCAGAGCCAATCAAAGAGGAGGAGCCAGTTACAGAGAAAGCTGAGGCTCAAGAGGTTCCTAAAACTGAGGAACCCGAGAAAGAAGAGGAAGAAGAAGAGGAAGATAAAGATAAGTCAGCTGATCTGAACGATTCCAAGTCGGACTCCTCCTACAGTGATGGAAGTGAAGATCTCTTGTCTGACCTCATACAGTCTGCGATGCCTAAAGGGAGGACCTCACCCAAAGCCAAGGTCTCCAGAAAACTGGACATGGATAGAGCCGCCGAGGGAGCCGAGTCAAAGTTCCAACCTCAGCGCACCTCCAGTGTAGTGACAAAAGATACAAAATATACTGCACAAAGTAAAAAAGAGAAGACATCAAGTGATATCAGCAGTACTTCTGAGATGCCATCAAGGATACAATCCGTAAACACCAGTGAGATAAAAGTGTCCTGTAGAACATTCAGTCACAATACAGAGGGTGGGGATGACTCTGTGTTCTATCATACAACTGATTCAATGGACTCTGTCAAAGTGTATGATGTAGAAGGGACTCCCATAACATTTTCTAGGAATGACTCCCTGAGCTCCTTGAGTATTATTGATGGTGATGTGAAGCAAACAAGTAAAACAGAAGCATCTGATTCTGCCAAGAAAATGCCTCCACCAGCATACATCCCGAAAACTGAGAAGTCAGAGATAGGTCTGCAGAGGGAAGTGGAAGGACAGTCCAGTGATGAAGTGTCTGCTGCCTCTGTACAAAACGCTGATGAAAAATCACTATCCAATGGTAACAAGTCAAACTCAGATGATGATGATGACGATGCTGATGATGAAGCACTACTAGCAGCTTGTATGAATTTAGCATTACCAAAGAGTAAATCTTCAACTTTTGCAGAAAAATCAAAATCTTCATCCAAACCACTGAAATCAAACCAAGTCATGACTGGTTCTAAAAGTTTCAATTCCTCATTTTCCTTTGAAAAATCAAAAAAATCAACAACATCAAAAAAGACTGGCGAAAATCATAAACATAGAATGAACAAAAGTACATCGTCAGTGGAAGGTCATTTGAACCTGAGTATTGGGAGTGTTACGTCCCACCACTCCCGGGCAGCAGACTGGCAGGTGCACCAGACCCTCAATATGTCTGACGATTTCACCTTCGCTAAGCCATCTGCTAACTACAGGAGAGTTCGTCCTCATCAGGGATCATGGAGAAGATCCAGATCACAGGACAGTGATGGGTTCCTGAAGCAGCAGAAAGAAAACACCAACATGGAGCTGGCTTATAGCAATGGAGGCCCAAGGGTTCAACACAGAGGATCTGCTCAGTCTATCCCAAGCTATGTTGATGTATATGTTGACAACAGATTTATTGAAGAGCAACGTACTTACACTCAACACAAATATCATTCAGAAAACCATCAAGTGATGCAGAGTTTTACAAACCGAAGTGTTGAAAGAGCTGATCAGGGGCAGGCAAGGCATTATACAAATGCAGAAACCCATAAGCGAAGTCACAGTGAGAATCGAGAAAAATCGGGAAGACAGCAGCATAATCAAGCCATCTATGATTCACATGTCAAAAGGAGACATCACAGTGAACAAAACAGGACTGAAAAATTCTCTGTGGCCAATGTACACACACATGTACCTGCACCCCAAGAGGAGATTGACAGCTTGAACAGATCAATTTACCAAATGGAGCACAACAATGAAGCCCTGACCTATGGTATAGGGATAGACAACTTTGGTTTTGGTATTGGAGGCAGTCAGGAGGAGATGTGTGAGGAAGAGAGACTGGACAGTGCTGATGTCACACTACGAGCAGCCAGTGGAAATAACACCATGACAAACGACTCCATCAATCAGAATGACTCTATCATCCATTATGATAAAAATGCACTATCTCCGGAGGATGAACGGGCATTACATCTAGATGCTAGTGCTGTTGTAACAGAGATTCAGAATAAAAGAATGCTGGGCAGTGGAGTGGATGAAGATCTGTTTATTGAACATGAGACACTTTCTCTCGTGTCTGGGGGTTACATGTCAGACACCCCTTCTGATGCGTCCATTACCTGGTCAGCTCACTCAGAGAACTACTCTGAATCTACCCTAGAGGAAACCTCTGTAGCCTCCAGTGGACCTAGGGTGGTAAAGCCAGACAACAGAGGCACCACTATTTCAAATGACAGTAAGGCCATCAGAGGAAAGAGGAAGCCCTTGTATAGTCGCTCCAATTCTACAACTTCCCAGAAGTCTGATACACCAAACAGGATGGTCAAACCAACTACAGCTAATACTAGAATTTCACCTGGAGGAAGAGGTGGTTTTGTCTCAGCTGGAGCCACTAGAAGGCCACCACAAACTAGGACTCATCCTCAGGCAAGCAGCACCCCAACCAAAAATACCCCACCTAAACCAAAGATACAAAAATCATCACCACCGCAGGGCAAGACAACAGCGAGAGTCTCTAATACCAAAGAGAGTCCATCCCGACTCCCTCTTGCTTCAAACAGAAAAAATTCAGCCGAGCGACCCAAACCTCCAATCAAACAGGGCACCTTTACAAAGGAAGCCTCAGCCGTGAAAGTACCGGTCATAGATGATTCAGTGAATGAAAACAGTTACGATACAAGTATTGAGGCAGTTAAAAATGAGACAAACAAACAAGGCAAATCCCCTGGAATGAAAAACAGTGAAGGAACTGAATCATGGAAAAAAGCATTAGCTTCCTATAATATGGTCATTGACAATGTTGCTGATGAAAAGAAAGAAAACCTAACGCCAAACAGAAAATCTAGTGTCACGAACTTGAATTCTAAAAAATCTGGAAGTGGAAGTAATCTATCTGCTACTAAGACAAAAACAGGCACCTCTCCTGCCAACAAAAGCACAGTGAAGACAGCTAGTAGGGTGAACAGTACAAGTAATCTGAAGAAGGCATACAGTGGAACATCACTGACCAAATATGGAAGTGGTGCTTCATTGAACAAGTCAGGCAGTGGCAGCACTCTCAACAAGTCTGGAAGTGGTCAGCTCCTGAACAAATCAGGAAGTGCATTACATAAGCTTACTGGGAGTGATCGTGTATTAAACAGGGGTGGATCTAATCCAAATTTGGGACGTTTAAACAGCAGTAAACCTGACTTAAAGAAATCAGACAGTAATGCCAGTCTCCGCAATAATTCACGACCCTCTACACCTGTGGGAAGAAGAACTTCAGCTGGCTCTGTACAGGGGAGAAAGTCAGAGAGTAATACAAGTAAAACTGTGACTCCATCAGAGAAGAAAGCAGGTGCCCCTAAGAAACAGGTAGGGAGTAAGATTGCTGGACTGTGGAAGAAGGATGATTCTACTGACACTCCATCACCTCGCACATCAACCTCAAAATTACCAGTGTCAACCACCCCCTCCAGACAGAGAAACATATCAACACCAGGGGTAAAAAAGTCTTCCAATGCTTCACTGCAGTCACTGAACAAATCCATGAATTCTGCTGAAACTCTGAACGAAGGAATAAGCAGGAGTTCAACCTACGATAAAATCAACTCAACTATGGACTCTAGCCAGCTGCCTTCTCTAGATAAAGAAGACGATGCAGAGAACGTGACAATAGAACTCACAAAGTCCAGTGTTGTCCTTGGGGATGAAATCAAAGGTGATTATGTAGAACTGAGAATCATCCAGGGTTCTGAGTCAGACTTTGATATGAACAAAAGTATTGTGATAAAAAGTCCAAACAAAAGTAAAAGTGACTCAGATTCTATTACAAGTCCATCAGCAGCCTCTGTGAAGAGCCAGTCATCTGAGGAGTTTGACTTGAAATCTTTAGAGAAAAGAATTGATTCAAGCACCTGGAAGAAGAAAAAGTCTGATCTTGTTTCAGTAAACCTTCCAAATGCAGATGAAACCAGTAAATCTTTAGAAGCTGTGAAGGCCTTATTAGATGCTTCTTTGGCAAGTGAGTCCTCCAACATGACTCTGTCATCCTCGTTCTACAACACGTCCAACATACAGGGAAGCTACCTCAGCCAGGGCAGTCGCACCGTCAATGGGACCGCCTGGCGCCGCTACAAGCAGGAGTCCTTTGCCAGTGTAGACCACAGTGAGGATGAGGGAGACAGCATCTGGGTCAGACGAGACGCCGAGTCATCAAAGTCCGAGCCAGAGCTCAATAAACACTCACTCAATCCAAAGAAAGACAAGAAGGAGAAAGCAGATGGCAAGAGTTTCCTACCGATCAAAGCCATGAAAAGTGTGTTCAGCTCATCAAAGAAGGATAAATCATCAAAATCTGGATCGAAGTTGTCACTGAGTTCCTCCAAGGAAAGCTTACATAGTAACAAGATAAACATGAATGAAATAGTAAAAGCTGTAGAAAAGGAACGAGAGAAAGACAAGGAAAGAGAGAAGAAAGAAAAGGCCAAACAGAAAGAGAAAATTGCTTTAGAAAAAGCTAAAGCAAAGGAAGCAGCTAAACTTGAGAAAGAGAAGGCCAAGAATGAGAAGGAAAAGGCAAAGATGGAAAAAGAAAAGGCAAAGGCAGAGAAGACGAAAAACAATAAAAAGAGTGATTCCAGGAAAAGCTCCGTGGCTGATGAGAGTTTTATATCAAAGGACTGTGACACGTCAAAAACTCAGGAGGTGTTTAGCTTTGTGAACCACAAGGCTAGTCCACCCCAAGCTGCACTGGTACAGCCATTTAATTACACACCAAAGGACAGTGAGAAACACGTGAATGACTCGGTGGTATCAGAGACATTAGACCAAAGCTTCAGCAGACCAACAACCTCCACTGCCACGACAACAGGGACACAACCAAACACTCACCTGACCAAGACTGAGATGCTGCTCGCTAGAAGGAGGATGAACAGCATTAATAATACAGAGGGAGAGGGGGAGGAAGGGAAGAAGAAGACCGGATGTATGGTCACCACTGTGTAACCTGTGTCGCTGTTGTCATTTAACTTGGTTACTACATGTACATGGAATTTCTACTGCTGATGTATTACAGTTAAATGCAGCTATAGTGAATGTGCTTACAATGAATTAGTGCTTATAAAAAAAGTGATTTTCATTCTAAAAATGCATTTAAACTAAATTAATATAATGAATTATGTTAATAATGAGTCAAAATGGGTTCTTTGTCCCTGGCACTTCACTCTATGTGTGTTTTATTGTATTTACTTATACCAATAATCTATCAGTTTTCCAAGATTTTCAACTATATGTCAACCATAGGTTGTATCAAGTGAAGAATATCTTTTACTCTTTTTAATGAAAGTCCAGTCTTCTTTTTTGTAAACACATCTGAGATGGATTTTTACATTTTGCAATTATAATAATATTCTTAGTTTTTCAATTGATATTTCATGATTTTACAGAGTGAGTACTGCAGTATCATAAGTTTAAACTATGATAAAGAACTTTAAGAAAAAAATATTATCACATGGCAGTATACTATGAAAGAACTTCATTATACCCCCCGCAAACGAAGTTTAGGGGGGGTATATTGGAATCACCATGTCCGTCTGTCCGTCTGTCTGTCTGTCCGTCTGTCTGTAGACGAGATTTTGTCCGGACCATTACTCAGAAACTATTGGAAGGATTTGTCTGAAAAGTTGTACACATATTATTCACCATATGAAGTTGTGCACCTGATATTTTTCATCTTGATTGGATTATTATTTTGAATTTTACAGGTGTTTTTTCATTTTTATTTTGTGGTTTTGTTTGGACCGTTTCTCAGAAACTATTGCAATGATTAATCTGAAAATTTGTACAATTATTATTCACCATATGAAGTTGTGCACCTGGAATTTTCAACTCTTTTTGTTCATTTTTCTGCATTTTACAGGTTTTTTAAAATTTTAATTGACTTGTTCATTTTGGGCTCATGTATAAGGTTTGAGACATAGAATCTAGAGTATCTGTACAAAAACGTGAACTACAGCTTAAAATTACTCATAAAAACTTAAAAAAAAAAAGAAACATCAAGTGTTAAAAACAGTTTTTACATTGCACAGAAGATAATGTAATTTCATTTGTCTCTGGGGAATAATGTGGACATGCATCCAGTTAAAGATAAATTAATGAGTTTGGTGTTGGAAGTTGTTTAGGCATATCTCTTATCAAGTGTGTGTGCGCGCGTTATCAAATCTTCAGGGAATAAGGCACAAGAATTAAAGATCTCTCTTCTCTTATTCTCTTAATTGTAATTTATTGTCTGTTAAAACACTTCATTACTGGATGACCAGTTCTTTATTTTCAAAATGCATTTCAAATTGATATATCAAGATTAATTTGATTTTGTATAATGGTTTTTTTTTTTCAACAATCATTTTACAGAGTGACATAACACATAATTGCAATATATTTTTATATGCCCGTCTTAAGACAAATTTTATTATGTTATTATGTTATAGGCTTCGTGTCCGTTTATGTGTCTGTAATATGTCCGTCCGTCCGTCTGTTAGCTTTTCTCGTGTCCGGCTCATAACTTTAATACTATAAGGCCTAGAGTTATCAAACTTTGTCATCTGATACATCTTGGGTAGAAGGTGTGTCGCGCACAAAAAGTATGTCGCTCTGACCTATAATTAAAAAGTTATTGCCAAATATGGAAAAATCCTGTCCGGTCCATAACTAGAAAACTATAAGACTTAGAATCATCAAACTTGGCCAGTTTATGCATCTTAGGTAAAAGGTGTGTCGCGACCTATTTCAAGGTCACTGTACATGTGACCTTTAATTTAAGTGGAATTTTTAAAAAAAAATTAAATTTTTTCTCTTCATTTACACATTTAGAATAATGTAAAATTATTGCACTAACCTTAATAGAAAAATGTTAAATAAAGAAAATACTTATTTTTTAGCACATACTTGACAGCAATCTATAACAAATATAATGTATGTTAGAGAAATTCCACCACTCCCATGAGTCTAATTATCAAGCACTGGTCAAGAAGAATGATAACAGAAAATTGCATGACAATTTAGAGAGAGAAATTAATGAGTTTAGTGTGAGGAGTAGCTGTAAGAGCATCGGTGCTATCTATATCCCTTGAGTATTGGGCCAAATGGGTAAGTCTGTTGGATTAAATTAGCTCTTGTTGGGTAGCCGAAGTTTGAAAATGAATTTGATGAGAAGTAATTAAAACAAATTTGATATTGCATATTAACTATTTTGATATTACATAATATTATGAACTTAAAAATTAATTTTATGGTGGTAGGGGTGGAATCTGCATGTCCATATGAATTGCATATTAACAATTAACTGTCTGACATTAATTCCAAAAAAAAATGATGTTTTATATCTTTTAAAAATGTTTTATGGTAGTTAGCGCAGATCCAATAATCTTTTGGGAGTAATGAGTAGACAAGCATCCAGTTAAAGATTAATTAATGTGTTCAATGTAGGAATCTCTTTCATTTCTTCAGAGCATGGTCTAATCTGTATCCTTCGGGAATTAGAAAAAGAGCTGTTGGTCAGTTTATATTTGATGGCCAGTCTTTTATTTCCAAAATTAATTAGGTGTAGATTAAGTTGTGAAGACTAATTTGATATTTTTAAATATGATAGGCATTTGGCAAGGTATAGAAATCTATGAATGATGCAATGTTTGTTATAATTAATGCCTACACCACAGGAGATAGATAAACAAATTTTTTAAGGTGTGTAAAAATCATTGAAATCTAAAAATCAAGGTTGACATGATTTTCCTGCACTTTTAACTGTTTAAGATACGTTGTAATTGTATTTTTTTGACGGGCCTATCATGCTGTGGCGTGGCACTTTATTTTAATGCAGTAATAAAGAAAAATTAAATGAAAAAAATTTTAAAAAAAATGTTACAATGGAATTACAATGTATTAGTATTGATGTTTCATTTGTTTGCACCTCCGTTTCATTCATTAAGAGACATGATGAGCAATTATATTTCACTGCAAATTTTTTAAAGTAAATTGTGAACATCTTTAGATCCATAAAGCATTTTTGAATTGGCACCTTCTCTGAAAAACCCAGCGGGGGGTATTTGTCCCTATTGGACAGTTCTAGTTTTTCCAAGTTATGTTATGATCTTGATAGTAAATATTACCAGGGCATTTTGTTCACTACTGAGATTGGGGATGAGCAGAAGTCTGGAACATTTTCCCTGCGAGTGCAATACTGTTAGAACTCTAGAAGTGGCAGCTTTTTGTCTTACACTACTTCAACAATGCAGTCTCTTGTGATATTTCATGCTCTTAAATGAATTTTTTTCTATCATATACAGATTGCAGAGTTGGTAATTGTGTGTATTATGTATGATTGTTTATTCATTACATCTGTATGTGGAAGTATTTTGAATGAGCATTTTTTATCCCCTTTTGATTTACAAAAGGGAAAGTAAGGCTTTTTTTTTATTTTCTTCACAGAAAAGTCAGGTTGCTGATACTTTTGTACATTATATAAGTAAACTTAAGCAGAGAATCACTGTATTGGATTTTATGTGTTTAATATTTAAGTGGTTATATGTCATATTCCACGTTTTGTGTAGATCAATGTACATATCATTGACTGACTCATATTCTCTCAAATGAGGTTTTGATTTTGCTTAATTATTTTTTTTTTGATGCATTTTTTGTACAAGGTGCTATTTATTTAAACTACGGCTATTTGTGAATTGCTATACATAAAATGTAAATATGTTTTTGTATTGCTGTCTAGCATCAGTATTTTTGGTATATTGTGGAATTTTTTCCTCCCTAAACTGTAAGTCAGTAAACACAATTTCTGGGAAATTAGTAGGCTGTTTAAATTATCAGTATTAGCTAAATGTGAAACACAGTTTTGTCTGAATTGAATACATGGATGGCTGTTTTTTTTCATCTCAAGCTTGACTTACGTGTGTCAGTAGTATAGGAGATTTGTCATTACGTGTCAAACTATAGATTACTGGAGATTGTAATCTCTTCATTGTGTAACATTCCTCATTATATACATGTTATAGTCTTGACTATTGTCCTTTGGTGCAGATTTACAGGATAATGTGTATATGGTGTTACAGGATGTCTGTAGATCTGTCTGTCTGTGTGAGAAGTTATCATGTGTACATACCTCGCTGTGGTTCTTTACAATTACACTTATTAAAAAGAAATAAATGGAAATATTACTGAATCTTTATATTATTGATTTTGTAAATTATGAATGAGTATTAATTGATTAATAATTTTAAAAAGCTTGGAAAAAGTGGTATGTGTCATTCAAAAAAATGACCAATCAAGCTTTTTAATACAAAGTTGAAGGGGGGGGGGGGTGTCTCATGAACCAAGCTAAAATTGACAGTTCTAATTATTTTTAGGTCACTGGAGTCAGGTGACCTGTTGCTATCCCTTTTTGTCTGCCGTGGTGTGTTATGTTAATATTCAAACTTTTTCATTTTTTCTCTGAAACCACTCAAACGGTTTCGGTCAATTTTGGCATATAGCATCTATGGATGAAGGGGCCTCTGCATGGTTTAAAGCAATATGAGCTGCATTTTTGAGAATTTTATTTTGCTGGTAAAATGTGTTATTATGATTAATCTGTATGTAATCTAAACCCTTATGATCAGTACTTGAAGACCAAAATAAAGTTTTAAAATGTTTCAGAAGAAATATTTCTGTACAACCGAATATACAGTATTATATAAGAAATCATTATTGTACAGGACGACAATAATTCAATTTTGCTTCAATCAAAGCTTATAAAAAGTTCTTCCATAGCAATATGACCAACAGAAGTTAAACGTTCTATTTTCCTGTCATTGAAATAGTTAATTACAAATTTGAAATACTTTTTTTCCGATGTCAAACATGCAGCGCATATTGCTTTAAAACACCAATTTTAAAATTGAGAATTTTTTGGCCCCCCCCCTCCCGGGGGCTTGAGGGATCGATGGTGCCAAAGCTACTAAAATTAATGCAATTTTCACAAATCTTTTTACACGTGGACATCAAGCAGTCAAACGACATGATTGTAATAGGCACTGAGCCCTCTACAAAAGTCGTGAAATTTATGGGGGGGGGGGGGGGGGGTGTTACATTTTCTGGAAATAAATTAATGGTCTCAAATCTGCTCTTTGATATTATTCAACCATTTATGAAGAACAAAGTACACCCTTTTGAATATGGGGCACTTTTAGTTGTATAGTGAAAATGTATTTTTTCCTTCTTTGCTCCTCTGATCTACCTCAGGGTATGAAGTAAGCATGCTGAATGTTTAGTTATGATTAATCTGAAATATCTCACGTTTTCCATGCTTTTTTACGGTTTTAATATTTCACATGCCAGGTTTGCTTGGCACCCAAAATATCAAAATCGCAGTAAAGCATGGAAAACGTCAGATATTTCGAACTAAGTTATGATAAGCAATGGTGCGGCTTTCAAAATTGTGAATTTCATGGCCTGAAATTTACAATTTTGAAAGAGGCACCATTGCTTATCATAACTTAAATTCATGGCCTCTGCATGGTTTAAAACACGAACTAAATTCAGTTGTTGGAAAGCTGTTGCATGATACTCAGGCCTGTGGGTGTCTTGTATGAAATATTGTTATTTTCAACCTGTCAATTGCGAAAGGTCGCCTGCATGACGCAGTGGTTAAAGAGTAGAAGTAAGGAGTCAATCCTTACGTCGCGGGTTCGAATCCCACTGTGGGACTTGGAGACCGGTCCTTTGGATGAGACCGTATAAACCGAGGTCTCGTTTCGCAGTAGGTGCTAGCACGAAAAAAATCTATCTTCTCTGCTCAATGGCCCTAAGTACCGAGTATAGGACAAAATTTGCAGCTCTCCAGTCTCCACCGGCAACAGTGGAGGGACGTTAAAACAATATACAATCAATGAATTGCGAAAGTCCTCTTCTATAGCTTTTCGTCCACCACTTTGGTTTAAGACGAGGATACATGTATTATTGTTGGTTTGGCTGTCTGAATTTCCGTCAATCTCTCTTTTTATAATTCTTTCAAATAGCCTCTTAAAATGATTTAATCCCTTAGCAATAAAATAGACCACAAACAAATTTTATTATCTCCTACAAGTAAAGTTAATTTAGACCATAAAATTTCATCGCAGATTTCATAATGCTAAAAACTAAAATATTGCGCAGAATTTTTGACCTGACTTTTGACTTTTTCACTTCTAAATCAATATTTTTTTTTCAGTTTTAGCGAAAAGGAGTTGTGGTTTTTAATTTCATAGGGAAAAAATCCAAAAAAAAAAAAAAAAAAAAAAAAAAAAAAAAGAAAAGATTATCAGCGTTGGTGACCCCGAAGCCAGAATTGTTTGCAGTGTAAGTAAGTAATGTATATTTTATTCCAATTTAGGGCCAGAGGGCATACGGCTTAAAAATAGAGAGTAAAATTTCTAAATGATAGTTGAATAATCAATGAACATTAATCATGAATTGAAAATCTTTCTGACTCTGTTCAAAATCAATATTTTTAAAGCCATATATACTGCAAACAAAGGAGGGACAGGTAGGGAGGGGGGGGGGTATATAAACATTTTCACTTGTCAATATAACGAGCAGGTGCCCCCTGATCTGTTACGTTTACATTAAACATGCATTTTCCCAAGGTTTCTCCATAAACTTGCTTTTGTATGTGGCAACCCTGATACAGTAAATTTTCCAATGGAACAATAACCATGGTAACAATTAAATTTTTTATGCATATTTATGCAACACAAATATATTTTTAAAAAATCATTATTTTACTATCTGTGATGAACTTCAAAAGAAATATTAACAAAAAAAATCCAAAATTGGGCCAAAGAAAAATAGAAGACTTAGATTAGAATTAAAATACTTTAAGATCCGCGCCTATGTTTTGTATAAACTCGTCTCTAAAATGAGAACCAGCAAATAGATATTACCGGAAGTTGTGAAAGTCTCCCTTTATAAAACATGTGTAAACCCTGTTCCGGCCTTTTTCTAGAGACGGCCAAAAGAAGCAAATATGCCTGTAAGTGCTGCAGTGTTTTTGTAAAATATATGCAATAATTGGGGTACATCATGTCCATTATGTGAACGAAACCGATCTATGGTATCAACTTTTGCAGTATGTGATGTTTTGTAGTACACCTGTCAGTTGAATCGGTAAATTTTAGAGTTTAAAGGGGAGAGGGGGGTGACCTATATGTTGGTCTAAAATGATTCGGACCTTTTGTCAGTTTTAAATGCTTTATTAGGTTTGATGAATTATGGATTTTTGTGAAAAAATGAAGTGAATATGCTGAAGAAATGTATTGTCAACTGCGCAAAATAGCACATACCACGTGGGTTACAGTAAACAAATATGGCGGCGATGAACCACGTGTAGTTATGCAAAATCGGACTTGAATGTCAACATTTGGTTTCATAAACGGTTCATCTACTCCAAGTTGATGCAGATTTTATATTTATTTTTTCATACAAATGTTCTTATTCCAGATCGTGTTTCCATTTGGTTCATTCATACAGTCTATCTTTAATAATTAAAGTAGATGACTTGCCTGCAATAGAAAATTGAATTACCAGTTACTAGTGTTTGTTCAATATTATAAGCTCTGAATAGCACTTTCTCTATGATTAGAAGTACTTTTCCTTCAAAAAGTGCTGGACACCTTTGGGATAAGACCTAATGAATAAAGACATCTTGTCATGCCAGGCATGGGCAAGATAAATATCCTCCACTGCTCTGGCCTTGGGTGTCAAGTAAAGGGTTTTAATTTGAAGTCCTTCACTGGCTTACATTGAAATAATCTTGCACTGGACATAAAACAACACATTAATCCTGATGGTTCTTTGCAAAGATAATTTTGTCAAAAGAAGGAATAGATTTGAAAATATGCCTAACTGTTCAGTTTTTTGTTTCAGCTCGCTAAAGATTTACTTCACCCCTCTTTGGAAGAGGAAAAGAGAACCTGCAAATTAAAGAGATTGGTACAGAGTCCTAACAGCTACTTCATGGATGTTAAATGTCCAGGTAAGAATGGTGAAGATTTTATGTCGTGGCAGTGTGAATATGATGAAGAATTCCACAATTTTAGCACATTTTTAGTTTGTTGGTTAGGCCAAACAAAAAAATAACTTTGTTTACTGTTACATGCTGAAATAAAATAGGGTCGGTAGGTAGGAATTTTTTTTTATTTTATTGATTTTTTTTATACACAAATTCACATGAATTGGAATTACAAGACAGTTTTACCATTGTATGGTGCCTTACTTTTGTTTGGGCTTTTAATATGGGTGGTAGACAATATAATCTTTCTTGCCAACTGCCTTACAACTCAGGGGTGTGCAATAAAAAAAAAATCAAGTACTAACCCACAGGCTTGTAACTGCAATAAAGTTACTAGTCCGAAGTTAAAAGTGACCAGTCCAAACATAGGGTAAAAAAATTTTATAAAAACTAAGATTTTAAAAAGTTCATTGTTGAGAAAGCCAGGGTCCTAAGCCATTCCTTTTAAAGTTGAAGTTTAAAAATTTTAAGAAATTATCTTTTTTTCTGAACATATTGCACTAGTCTAGCTTATTTAAAATGAAGCAAAAATCATTTTATTTTCATTTCAAACCATTAAGTATAATTGACATATATTAAAGTTTAATCACATAACACTTAGCTATCAGTTGATTGGTGGATCGTATATAATTGAAAGAGATATCTGCATATATTTACCATTAACAGAGGAATGGAGGAAATTCGGATTAGGAAAAAACGATCGTTTTCTAAGTAAATAAGTCAGGTAGTACTGCAAAATGGATGAGATTAAAGTGATTTAAGAACAGTAGAAGCATGCTGCCTGGAAAATTTTCATTAGTTGGAAATTAAATATCAAACAATGAGTGAAAATACCGTTTGTGTTTCCTCATGTATTTATGATTATACATGATAACTTTAATTTTATTTTTACTAACCCCAAAAAACGGTAGCACCGGGCGTTGGGCGATGCTAGTTGCACACCCTGCAACTGCCACGCAATGGTAAGCAAATTGCAACGAACTCGTTGATGTAGAAATTGAACTCAATGGTTTTGTTTCTGTACTTTCAATTTCGATTTCAAAGATGAATGTAAAAGTTAAACTGACCGGCCAGTAAATTCCGGATTTTTATGACGAAAAAAAAGTTTGAGTCGGCGATTAAAATTAGGGTCGGTCGGGTAACCGTAAACAAACATATTTTTTTGTTACGCCTTAGTGCTGGCATCAAAGTATACTGGTGAATTTCATTTTGAAACTTCGAAACATATTTAAGACAGGATTAAAAAAAAACTCAAAGTATATCTGCTATTCAGTTTTTTTCTTGATGAGAGAGTGCAGAGAGATGCTGACAATGATGATACATGTTGTACATCTTTCGGGTCTGAATGATTCTGAAGTCAAACAAACACTGAAGTCAGCTTTAAATTCTGTACACCTTATCCAAGGAGAATGGTTATGCATGTGCTTAAAAATTCAAAATAGTTTTACGTTTAGAAAGTTGGATGGATCACTTTATTGGCAGTTCAGTCTATCAATACTTCAGCCGAAAAAGCCAAGTACTTTTCAACGCTAATATTCAGATCCTTTCTTTCTTTCTGGTCAATTTGACAAAGGAAGTTGGTTTTCAGAATATAATTTATATTTAGGGCTATGTACAATATCATTTTACCTGATTGTGATCAGCTAACAAAAAATATCAGATTGCTGTATGTTTTTTTTCACTACCAATGTACTGCAAAATGCTTGAGAATAGAAGTAGTGAATTAAGAGAGAATGCACAACTATTCAGTTACTATTCATACCAATTGATACAAATTGAAACTAGTTTCAACTTCAAACTTGTCTTTTTACAGTGGTTGCTAAAAATTGTGATTGTGTTGTGCAAGAGTAGTGGCTAAAAATACCTATTGTGTCATGAAGAAGGTTTCCTTTACAGAGTGATGTCTGTTAGCAATCAGACAAATAAGAATGTCTGACAGTTTTTAGCTCACCTGAGCCAAAGGCTCAAGTGAGCTTTTCTGATCACATTTTGTCCGGCGCCCGTCTGTCTGTCTGTAAACTTTTCACATTTTCGACTTCTTCTCAAGAACCGCTGGGCAAATTTCAACCAAACTTGCCACAAAGCATTTTTGGGTGAAGGGGATTCAAGTTTGTTCAAAAGAAGGGCCACGCCCTCATTCAAGGGGAGATAATTGGGAATTAATGAAAATTAGGTGGTATGTTTTAAAAATCTTCTTCTCAAGAACCACTGTGCCAGGAAAGATGAAACTTATGGGGAAACATCCTCAGGTAGTGTAGATTCAAGTTTGTTCAAATCATGAGCCCCGGGGTTAGGGCAGGGCCACTGTGAATGGCCAACCAAAGTTTTACATAGAAATATATTGGAAAATTCTGTAAAAATCTTCTTCTCAAGAATAACGAAGCCATAATTGATCACATTTATATGGAAGCATCCTCAGCTAGTGTAGATTCAAGTTTGTTCAAATCATGACCCCCGAGGGTAGGGCAGGGCCACAATGGCCAACCAAAGCTTTACAAAGTAATATATAGGAAAATTCTTTAAAAATCTTCTTCTCAAGAATAACAAAGCCATAATTGATCATATTTATATTGCTCAGGTGAGCGATGTGGCCCATGGGCCTGTTGTTAAAAATTTTCTATATAAAAGCTCATATTTATTTGAAATTATTTTACTAGTCCCTCTAGTTTCTGTACATTTTACACAAGTGGATTAACGTATCTCGATATTATGCTTTATTATAAAAGTGTTCAAAAGAATTAGTATCTTATTTCTTTTTATTTTGTCTTGACATTAAATATATCAAACCATGTGTGCTTTGAAATTGATACATGAAGTACATCAATTTCATTGACTAAAACTTAACAAAAACAATAATATATGTACATATTATTATTACCAAATTACTATTAAAATGTTGTTTACAAATAGTTGTGTAGTTCCTCAGAGAACACTTACTAAAATTCATTTAAAAACATCTCATTTACATTATTATTAATTGCTGAAAGTCTGTAGCAAAGTTGAGATCAAAAGTCCATTCCAAAAAGTCCATTTGAGATGGACTAAGAATTAATAATATCAATATATGTTCTGGAAATGATACTTGCTGTGTATAGCATGCATTACATACTGAACTTTTCTTGTCCAATCTTCCGAAGCTGGTTAAAAGTGAAAACGTTTTACCCCTAACCAACGACTTGTTCGTTCTAAAGTATGTTTTCAATAATCAACATCATCGCTTCGCTTCGTACAAGCCGCCATTTGCCAAGAACAGGTACTTTCATTTTCAAATTTTGGATAGGTCAGCGTTCGAAATTCACTGTATACATCTCGCAAAATGCGAATCAGAATTTCCCAATTGCGAATTAAAAAATTTGTAACTCGCAAATTTCTGCGAGTTGATTTTTTTCACTGTAAATTTCACCAAGGGAAAAATTTATCTGACATCCCCCATTTTTAAACCCATGTACGGCAACCAGGCCTAAAAAACGACCGATCTATTCAAATTACCTCCAGGTGGATTTTTTTCTCCCAATCTGTGTGGTTTGATCAATCAGCTGATTTGGAATCCATTTATTCAAAAAAAAATATTAATTTTAGCTTAACTTGAGACATAAAATATGTCAACCTAGTTAACATTTACCTTAAATATAAAGAATAATCATAATGTATTATAGTAACAACAATTTCCCCCCACAACTTTTTGTGGCTAGGCAGTCATGTTGGTTGCCATGTTAGGTGTCCACTGTAAATATAACACCTGGTTTATTCAGTCCGGGGATGTTTGGCTCTTTTAATCATAAGGAAAAAAAATCTTGACCTTCTGAACAATGATTTTTGGGAAATGTTACAGGAAACAAACATAATTTTTTTTAAAACCTCATGTAGAAAATTTTGAATTTTTTTTAAATGGATGGATGGTGATTTATTTCTAGAAAGCTTTCATTTTAAAATTGCGAGTTGTCTTTTGAAATTGCGAGTTCATATTTTTGTAACTCCCAATTATTTGCGAGTTGTAATTTTAGGGAGTTTCTACCCCTGTAGGTCATTCGTGTATCGTTTCGTACCGATATTTGAATGCTTGTATCATAAACCGTATCTTAGAGTAAAATATAGGTATGTATCTGTGTATTGCAATATCGTCCCACCGCTAGTGATAACATGTCTAAAAACTAAGGGATTCCACACGGGCTAATTAGTACATGTAATTTAAAATGCCTTACAAAAATGTGATTGGTCGATTTAATGTGACATATGTGTCTTAGTCTCAAACCCTGGGGCCTATGTTATTGATTCTTTTTGTAAAATATGGCTCTGTCCTCTTTTACAACTTATTGTTGGTTCAGACTGTGCAGTTGGTTTACATATCTATACAGTTTATGTCAACTTGTTTTAAAAATCTCTGATACTATAACCTATCAGTAATATTTACTAGTAAACATCTGGTCATTGATGCTGACAATGATGATACTTGTTGTACATCTTTCGGGTCTGAACTGATTCTGAAGTCAAACAAACACTGAAGTCAGCTTTAAATTACCTATTAAGAGGATAATTGAAGTCTCTATTTAGAACATTTTGCTTCATAATATTTATATGGAATGTTAGATTGATGGAGGTACAGTGGATCAAATTAATGTAAAATACATTGCTATTAATTGCAGGTTGTTACAAGATCACCACAGTATTCAGTCATGCCCAGACGGTGGTTTTATGTGTGGGATGTTCCACAGTACTGTGTCAACCCACAGGAGGAAAGGCCCGACTCACAGAGGGTAAGTTATCAAGTAATTGTAGTAGGCCCGACTCACGGGGTAAGTTATCAAGGCATGACTTACAGAGTGTAAGTTATCAAGGCCTGACTTACAGAGTGTAAGTTATCAAGGTCCCACTCATAGGGGTAAGTTATCAAGGTCCCACTCATAGGTGTAAGTTATCAAGGCCCGACTCGTAGGGGTAAGTTATCAAGGTCCCACTAATAGGGGTAAGTTATCAAGGTCCCACTCATAGGGGTAAGTTATCAAGGTCCCACTCATAGGGGTAAGTTATCAAGGTCCCACTCATAGGGGTAAGTTATCAAGGTCCCACTCATAGGGGTAAGTTGTCAAGACCCAACTCACAGAGGGTAAGTTATCAAGGCACGACTAACGGGTAAGTTATCAAGGCCTGACTTACAGAGTGTTAGTTTTCAAGGCCTGACTTAAAGAGGGTAAGTTATCAAGGCATGAAATTATGATAGAAATGGCATGAAGACACTTTTCTGGAGCTGAAATAATAACATGCTTTAGTTTGTGCAATTTTTGTGAAAACGCGTGCAAGTGCAGGATTATAATTTAATGCATATTTCGGTAAAAGTGACCGAGTTATTTCATTGTGGTAATCGGTTTTGTGAATTTGTTTTCAGGTTGTTCCTTCCGTAAGAAGTCGCACTAGATTGACCTTATTTATATTGGCTGTGTGAATGAGAGGCTGAGGAGGAGGAGGGGGTTGGCATGGTAACTGCCACCTAATTTGGATTTTGTGATACTCTCTAGTAACCTGGACAACTTGGACTTTGTGTATAATTTATTTCTCATCAACAAACCTGGGTCGTACATTATCATTCAATTAATCTGACACAATTCTTTGTAAACCTCCCAGGATGTTTACTACTACTTGTACACTCTTTTGTGATACGTGCTTTGTAGAGTGCTGAACTATTGTTTTTTTTTTTGACAAAACCACTTTGATTAATAAAGTTTAGGGTATCACAAACTCCAGATAGTGTTTGAGTGATTTTTCCCTTGATCCTGAAGCAGGCACGTAGTATCAGAGGGGGCCTGGCCCCCCCCCACTTTTTCTCCCGACATTACCTTTACTATATAGAAAATGTATACTGAAAGAAAGGTTGGCCCCCCAACATTTCAGCACAGTGTAGAGTTATAAAGAAAATTTACCCCAAAGAAGAAAGTTGGTCTTGAAATAAGTAAGCCACTACCCCCCTGATTCAAAATCTGTTATATCACCTAAGCTTAAATAATTCGGAAACCAGCGATTTACTGGACATGTAAATAATTATTCTCATTGATTGCGACCTATTTCGGTGGCTGAAATAGATAGTTTAAAATGGTGATTGACGTTGACATAGTTATTTGTCTTTGTGTGTCGAATTCCTATTAATTTCCTTTATTTTAAAATCGTAAATCTTTGACAATATCGTATGTGTGTATTGTAAGTATAATGTCCCTATACAGTATATTTGTGCATTACTACTACCGATAAGTATAGAATAAGATAAATAATAGATATTGATACTTTTACCAAAAATCATCCGAGTAACTGGGTACTCGATCGGAAGATGAAGCGAGTAACCGGTTACTAAAAATCGTCCGATTTGCCAACACTAGTAATTACCAAAAAATTGAAATTGAATTTCGAATAAGTACTTCTCTTGGACCTGTTTATTTTAAGAAATGAATTTCATTTTTGAAGATTCATGAAGTTATGAACTACGAAGCTTCACACCGGCATAATGAAACACAAAAGCGCTAAATATGCTGGCGTGAAGCGTCGTAGTTCATATACCTCATGAATCTTCAAAAATGAAATTCTTTTCTTATATTTACATTTTTAGCTCTAATGGTCAGAGACCAGAAGAGCTTATGCGATAGTAATGCGTCCTTGTCCATCCGTCTAGCTGCAGATCTGTAGCGTTCTGGTTTTATATATTTGTCTTTGACCATAACGCTACAGATCCCGTAATGCAAAAAAGGTGCAATTTATGGCACAATATTTTTTGCGCACTTTTGGGGAGAATTTCTCCACTTTCTAGCATTGGTCAATCAACTACCTTTCACTCCCTAATTCTAGACACATTCTGTAGCCATATTTTATCCACCTCCCAACCATTTATAGTTGTCTCTACAGGCAATAAATTTGCTAGAAGGGAATTTCAGCAATCTAAAAAATAATTTTGATCAAGCAAGTTTATCACTTGTAGAGACAATTATAAAGGGTTGGGAGATGGATAAAACATAAAAATTAGTTAAATAATGTGCTTAGAATTAGGGAGTGAAAGGTAATTAATTGATTAATGCTGGAAAAAGGAGAAATTCTCCCCAAAAGTGCGCAAAAAAATATTGCACCGTAAATTGCACCTTTTTTACATTACGGGATCTGTAGCGTTTTGGTCAAAGACAAATATATATAAAACCATAACGCTACAGATCTGCAGCTACCATCTGTCTAGATGTCTGTCTGTCTGTCCGTCTGTAAACAATTTTTAGGTCACCTAGGTAAACTCAGGTGACCTATTGCTATACGTTTTCGTCCGTCGTCGTGCGTTAACATTTGAACATTTTCAGCTTCTTCTCTGCAACCACAGAACCAATTTCAACCAAATTTGGCACAAAGCATCTATAGGTGAAGGGGAACAAAAATTGTGAATTTCATGATCCCTGCCCCCCTGGGGCCTGAGGGGTGGGGCCAAAACCACTAAAATTAGTGCAATTTTTAAAAATCTTCTTTACTCCTGAACATCAAGCAGTCAAACTGTTTGCATGATTGTAATCACCATTGAGTCCTCTACCAAAATTTTGAAATTTATGACCCTGGGGTCAAGGGTTTTAGTGCTAGGGCGGGGCTAAATAAGTATATATTGAAAATGCATTATTTCTTTGAAAATCTTCTTCTCTGCTCCTAGGTATTAAATAGACTAACCAAGTGCATAGTTATGATGAGCAAGAGTGCCTCTACCAAAATTGTGAATTTTATGGCCCCAGGGTCAGGGATTCTGGTGTTAGGGTGGGGCTCTATTGATTATATAGTGAAAATACATGAATTCTTTGAAAATCTTCTTCTCTGCTTCTAGGAATTAAATAAACTAACTAAGTGCATAGTTATGATGAGCAAGAGTGCCTCTACCAAAATTATGAATTTTATGGCCCCAGGGTCAGGGGTTCTGGTGTTAGGGCGGGGCTCTATTGATTGTATAGTGAAAATACATGAATTCTTTGAAAATCTTCTTTTCTGCTCCTGGGTATTAAATAGACTAAGTACATAGTTATGATGAGCAAGAGTGCCTCTACCAAAATTTTGAATTTTATGGCCCCAGAGTCAGGACTTCTGGTGTAAGGGCGGGGCTCTATTGATTATATAGTGAAAATATATGAATTCTTTGGAAGTCTTCTTCTCTGCTTCTAGGAATTAAATAAACTAAGTGCATAGTTATGATGAGCAAGAGTGCCTCTACCAAAATTATGAATTTTATGGCCCCAGTGTCAGGGGTTCTGGTGTTAGGGCGGGGCTCTATTGATTGTATAGTGAAAATACATGAATTCTTTGAAAATCTTCTTTTCTGCTCCTGGGTATTAAATAGACTAAGTACATAGTTATGATGAGCAAGACTGCCTCTACCAAAATTTTGAATTTTATGGCCCCAGAGTCAGGACTTCTGGTGTTAGGGCGGGGCTCTATTGATTATATAGTGAAAATATATGAATTCTTTGGAAATCTTCTTCTCTGCTCCTAGGTATTAAATAAACTAACTAAGTGCATATTTATGATGAGCAAGAGTGCTCTACCAAAATTGTGAATTCTGTGGCCCCAGGGTCAGGGGTTCTGGTGTTAGGGCGGGGCTCTATTGATTGTATATATAGTGAAAATACATGAATTCTTTGAAAATCTTCTCTGCTCCTGGGTATCAAATAGACTAAGAACATAGAACTTTATGATGAGCAAGAGTGTCTCTACCAAAATTGTGAATTTTATGGCCCCAGGGTCAGGGGTTCTGGTGTTAGGGCGGGGCTCTATTGATTATATAGTGAAAATACATGAATTCTTTGAAAATCTTGTCCTCTGCTCCTAGGTATTAAATACAAATACAAATACTTTATTGGCACAAACACAATTACAATAATTGGCAAAGGCCTACTGAACATCATTAAATAATGTTTACATATTTTTCAAGAATTGTCAAGTAATTGACTTCTAAGTTCAAAACAGTCTCTGATAAATTTAACAGTAACTTTCAAGACTTTTTGTATATTACTGTTTACATATAATTGTAACATATATTTCTCATTGCTAAAATTATTATTTTTCTTTGTTATGTTATAAATATTACTAAAGAATGTGTTTCTTAGCTTAGAGTAAGAATTACATTGAAAAAGAAAATGCATTTCATCCTCAATCACACCAGTATTACAAACATTACAATATCTTTCATTTCTTGATGTGGAAATATATCTACCACTTTCTATTGCAAGTTTATGTGCGCTTAGTCTAATTCTACTAAGAGAGGATCTCTCAGATCTTTTTTTGAGTAAATCAACATAAGGACTTCTTTTTCCTGAGTATACTTTCTTGAAGAAATCAAGTTTTTCTGAACCAAAGATTTTTAACGTTTGCTCCTGAGTGCACTGATCAATGATTCTTTGTTTAATGTTTGGTAAAAGGTGTTGGATGGAACCTGTATATTTTGTAATGTTTGAGAATCCAAGATTATCTAGAATAGAAAATAATTTCTTAACCCAAGAATTACAGTTACTTGTGGATTGGTAAAGTTTAAAGGCCAAAGAATCAGAATTTTTCAGGTGATTCCAATATTTGATACTAGAGAGGGAAATTTTGGACCAAAGTGGTAGTCTTTTAAGTTCTGCTAAACAACCAGCATTGGATGTTTTGCAGTGCACTCCAAGGATGTCTTTAATAAAATTTTCAATATTTGAAATATCTTTGGATGAGAGATCCACTCCCCATATTTCACTACAATAGAGAAGAACTGGAAGTAAAATAGCATCAAAGAGTTTTTCTAAAAGTTTACATGGGTTATCAAATCCAATAATTCTTTTCATTTTAAAACATGCTTTTCTAGCCTTTTCAATAAGCACAGCTGTTGCTAAATTAAACTTCCTATTACATTTCATCATAATACCTAAATAACAGTATCTTGGTACAATTTGTATTGCATTATCATTAAAACTAAATTCATTTCCTTGAGGCTTGCCATTTGAGTTAAATATCATAACTTTAGATTTATCTACATTAACTTGAAGTTTCCAATTTGAGCAATAGTTACTGAAATTCAAAATATCAAGACTGGTTTGTAAACCGCTTTTGCTTTCTGAGAATATTACAATATCATCAGCATATAACAGACAATTTACATGAATATTGTTTACCTGCACAGGATCACATTTTCCATTTTTTAAGTCATGGACAATACCATCAATAAAAACATTAAAAAGTGTGGGGCTTAAGACATCCCCTTGTTTGACACCACACTCAGAATTGAATACATCACTTAATCCATCAGAAAATTTGATTCTACTCATTGTATTACTATACATGGAAAATAAAATATTGAACATTTTTTGGGAAATATTACATTCTAGAAGTTTATAGAATAAACCTAATCTCCATACAGTGTCAAATGCCTTTCTAAGATCAATAAAAGCAGCATAGACCTTTTTGTTTTTGTAGTGATCAATTATTGTTTTTATTGAGAACAAATGGTCTGATGTTCTACAGTTTTCCTTGAAACCAATTTGATTTTCACTTATCGGTGATGTAGAGTTTACAAATTCAAGTAGCCTAGTATGGATTATTCTGTTGAAAAGTTTTCCTAGATTTGAAGTAATTGATATACCTCGGTAGTTGTTAGGATCAAGCCTATTACCCGCCTTATACAGTAATACTAAGTAGCTCTCATATATTAAATAAACTAATTAAGTACATAGTTATGATGAGCAAGAGTGCCTTGTGGCAACGCACTTTGAAA